AAATGATCCTCTTTCGCTCAAGACTTCATAATTCCTTCTCTCCCTCTCCTTTATGATCAACTAATTTACAAATTAAGACAATAAGAAGTTGTATGAACGAAAATGGGATAATCAAGCGGATGAGTGAATGCAAAGGAGGTTTCATGTTGGATTTAAGATTGGGAACGCATCCCTGTTATCGACTGTATCCATGGTAATAGATGAAAATTTCTTTACCCACAGAGACGGCCTCTCGATTAGTTCATGCGCGCCACCGCTATGAAACTCTGATCGAACAGTTCCCATAAGCCTGAGCAATCTCCCCTATTATCTCTGGCTGGTTCTCCGTTGAACAGATGGCAGGTCCAATGCCCGTGGAGCGCTAAAGCACTCTGCCCACAAGTGCGGGAATTTTCGAATAAAAATAATTGAACACGAACACCAATTTAATTAGATAATCCAATCGAAACGTTTACATTTACTTTTCAAAACTTAGAAGATATTCTACAACAACACTTTGGGTTTTTAAAACTTGAGAAGACGATAACAATTTCTCTCGAACTTCTCGTATCCACGTATGGGGTGGATCTGCCCTTACTCTTACTCTAAAAATTAGTCTAAGTGTCGAAGACGAAGGGCTCATCCCACAGAAAAGAGTAGGGGACCAATCGTGGCCTTGAATCCAGTGAACAGTGTTGGTCTAACACCCCCGCGATCGCTCGAGCTGGCCCAGTCCCAACTCTCGAGTCTACGTGACTTGAACAAAGGGCCTTACATGTGGTTTTTCGGGAGAGACAGAAAATGCTTGAATTTCACCCGGGGAAAATAAACTGTCTCCAGGAAAAGATTTTACGACTCGAACGGTTTAATGTCAAGCTAGAATTGCACTCGAAAACTCTATATAAAAAAACAATACAAAGGATCTTTTATTTTCGGATAGCCAGAGCTACGTCGAGAGACTCTTTAGATTTATTACTCGTTTCCTGTTTACGAGTTTCTCGAACTTACTTTCCAAAATTCTATATTTTCTTGTTTCCAAAACCGTGGGAATATTTCAACTAGCTTAAAAATAATATTGGATTATAAAATTATCAGATAAAAATATTTGAATCTCAATGGTATAATCTAGTGGAATAATGGTAGTCATAGGGACTCTATATGGTAACTAGTGGTTTACGCGACAATCTTAATCTCTCAACATTTAAGTTATTGTACTATTTATAATTCAACTGCAGGTTAAAAAAGTTGTATGAGTAGACACTAATTGAGTCATTGAGTGTAACAGAGAAAAATAAATTTGAAATGCCCAAAAAAATAATTATTCACCATTGAAAATTTTTGCCGCATTTTTCATGTCCACTGGAAGGGGGTATTGCGTATAGCCTATTACAATGCTACGTGAGAGGGAAATCGGTCGTCAGTGACATTCTGTCAATCAAAATTCCTCTGACTCGCTAACAGACCCATATTTCACTCCGCCAATTTATTCGAAAATCCGGTTTATAAACATTGAAAAAAACATCGGACGATTTAAAAAATGTTTTTCTTTTTTATTTTGAAAGATAAAATCCTCGCGACTTTTGTCTACTTGAGTATGGAGTGACCCCACCATAGAAATGAAATGTTATGTCCTATCCAAGTTACTAGGAGAACAGTAGCGCCATTTGGAATATTGAGCGCCAAACTTTGAAGTGTGGATCCGTTAGCCGCTAAACCTCTGATGAGGACTCCATCGATGTTGACACGTTCAATGATAGGATAATTGGATTGAAGGTTTATTTGTGAATAAATCCAAACACCAGTGCTTAGGAGAGCACATTAACACTTTTATTCAAAACAACTCTTGACTCAAAAATCTAAAACTTGGACTACAAACTGGATGAACTTCTAATAAACTTATAAAAACTCATAAAAACTCTGAAGAAAAACTACTTGAAGAGAGAAGCTTGAAAAGTTGTCGGAACAACAGCCACGATGGGACTGACTTAAACTTAAGGTTTTAATCTAAGGGTTGGCTCAAAACACCTCCACTAGACCAAAAAGTTGCGCGCGCAATCCTGGCCCAGCGGAAAGGGAAGAGGGGTATGCTAAAACAGAAAAGGGGAAATGAAAAGAGGGAGGAAGGGAAAGCGTGCGACGTCGCCAGTTTTCCTCTTGAGGGGTCTCAGGCCCTCCGCGTAGGAATACAATGAACAAAGGAGAACCCAAACACGTGTGGACCGCATGAAACAGAGAAACTTTGGAAATATTGGAAACGCTAAATATCAAAACGCCACCTATGAATGGCGGATATTGGGCTGCACACAGTATACAATCGAATTTGGGCTTGTTTAGCGTGTATATGGGAAGCCTAAAATCGTCCATATTGGTGAAAACGAGCGCCGCCATCGGTAATTAGCGGTCCCAATACCAGAATTGAGATTTTACGATTTTACGACTGTGACCGATGTGTTTATTTTTCTCTCTGAGTTTAGAATTTTCAGGAAAAGCCTTTCTGTAACGAATTTTGGAGAGTAATAAATTGAGAACTCAACTCAAGTACTTGACATTTACGATTGCTGGCAACGGTTTTTCTTACACTCGTCAAATTATTTTTTGTCCATTGTTCATTGTCCTCTGTTCGACCATTTTCTTGGCATTCTCAAATTTCAGACTTTTTTTATATTCATTTTGAAATAATAATTCAAATCTCGCGGATTAAAATGGCCGATAAATAGTGCCATCTATAAAATTCAACGTCGGGACGTTACAGAAAAAAATCACCCCCATGTACTTAGCCGAAAGGGTGCAATAATTAGGAAAACTATCTTATGTATTCGATTGTACATCGTTAGTACATGATTGTACTAGATTTTTTTTTGTTTGTACATTCACTCATTAATTATAAATAATTATTCAATTTTTGCCATGATGCTGGCTGGAATAAAATGAAAAATTGCTCAATTGGGTTAAATAAATGGTCAATTCGATAGGAAATTGTTTGTACATCATGAATTACATATTTTCTTCGTTTGTACATTCATTATTAATTGATTAAATAACAAATTAATAATTCTTATTCGCCCCCCA